GATTTCATTAAGAGGAAGAAGAACTTTAACCCAGGCGGTTGTTTGCAGGGAACCACGCTCCTGGCAGGAGAGGGGACACGCACGAGCCAGCCCCTTCCAGCCTGGGGGCACTTGTTTCCCAGGAAAAGCCAGAGGGCGAGTGGGTGTCCATAGCGGGAACATTAGTCTCCCACCCTGGCAAGTGGCTATTTACAGGAATGAGGCGAACAGGACCCTGGCCAGGCAGGAGATGGAAAGAGGAGGAAACGACTATGTACACGGGGAGGGCACCAGGCACTCATCCCGGCGAGCTCCTCGCGGCACCTCCCCGCAGCAGGACGCTATCTTTGGGGATTTTCAGCTGCCGTAGCCAAGGGGGACCCCGCTCTCTGGGTGAGGAAGACGCTGGTAAGACCTTCCAGGTCACCGCAATGAGCCAGCCTTCTTCAAACCGCCGGGCAGGTCTTCCTCCGAGTGCTGTGGGCTGCGAGGAGGGTCACCGCAAGGACCCAGCCTTCTTCAAACCGCCGGGCAGGTCTTCCTCCGAGTGCTGTGGGCTGCGAGGAGCTGGTGGAGGGGGAAGCCTTCGTGCCCGCCCAGCCACTGCGGTTCCTCGGGAAGGGGAGATGGCAATGCCCCCTCGCCCAGCGCTGCCGCTGGGTCTCTGGGCACCCGGGGCGGAGGGGGAATAGCCGGAGAGCGAGTAAGGCATGGTGCCAGCCCAGCGACTCCGAGATGAACGCGTCTATCACCTCCTTCATGGCGAGGTTGGGGATCAGCTGGTCCTGGGTCAGGGGACTCCGTGTCACCGGATCGAAATGACCCACGCGCTGCGAGGGAGGAGACAGCCGCGAACCGGTTACTCCACGTGCCCAGCCTCACCGGGGCGCAGGCAGCTGCCAGGCCAGGGCTGTGCTGGCATCCGGCACAGCAACCAGGCATCTGTGTGCTTGCTGGGGGGGAGGAAAGAAGGGGCTGGAGGGAGAGCCCCCCCACCCGGAAGGTGCCTGCCAGCAGGATGAGAGCGGGTCAAGGCACAAGACCCTTCCCAACAGCCGCCCCCGCTTCAGGCAGGGCCTGGCAGCGCCTGACGCCTT